GATTCACTCTCCACTTGCTCACGAATCCAATGATATCTGACGTCGATGTGTTTTGTCCTTGCATGGTACATGGAGTTCTTGCTCAAGTCTATTGCACTCTGACTGTCACAATAGACAACATACTCCATTTGTTGCAATTCAAGTTCTTGAAGAAATCGCTTTAGCCATATCATCTCTTTGTAGTCTTCAGTAGCCGCAATGTACTCAGCTTCAGTTGTAGATAGTGCAACACACTTCTGCAACTTCGACTGCCATGATATAGCTCCCCCTGAAAAAGCAAACAAATATCCAGTAGTGGATTTTCTGTTATCAAAGTCACCTGCCATATCAGCATCTGTATAGCCCTTCAAGATTTGATCTGATGCTCCAAAACACAAGCATTCATCTGAGCTTCCTCTAAGATACCTGAGTATCCACTTCACAGCTTCCCAATGCTCTTTTCTCGAATTGTCGAGAAATCTGCTAACAATACCAACTGCGTGAGCAATATCAGGTCTGGTGCATACCATTGCATACATTAGACTTCCAACGACAGAGGAATATGGAACTTTGGCCATGCTCTCTTTATCCTCCCTAACTGTAGGACACATCTTTTTGCTCAACTTCATATGACCAGCAAGAGGTGTGCTAACAGGCTTAACATTCTTCATATTGAAGCGCTCTAGTACACGTTCAATGTACTTCTTCTGTGACAAATAAATCTTCCTTTCATCTCTGAGACGAGTAATTCTCAAGCCTAAAATTTGCTTGGCATGACCCAAGTCTTTCATAGCAAAAGACTTACGCAACTCTTTCTTCAACTCGTTAATCTTAGAAGTATTCTTGCCCATAATCAACATATCATCCACATACAACAAGAGGATGATAAAATCATTGTCAGAAAATTTTTGTACAAATAAACAATGATCTGAAGAAGTCTTCGTATAGCCTTGCACCCTCATAACAGATTCAAACTTTTTGTACCACTGTCTAGGAGCTTGCTTTAAGCCATAAAGACTCTTTTTGAGTTTGCACACAAAATTTTCTTTACCTTCTACTTTGAAGCCCTCAGGTTGTTCCATATAAATTTCTTCTTCTAGGTCACCGTGAAGGAAAGCCATCTTCACATCCATCTGCTCAATCTCTAAATTAAGACTAGCAGCCAAACCCAGAACTGTACGAATCGAGGACATTTTCACAACAGGAGAAATTATCTCGTCAAAGCCAATACCCTTCCTTTGACCAAATCCTTTAACAACCAATCTAGCTTTGTACCTTGGCTTCAAGTTGTGTTCTTCAACTTTAACTTTGAACACCCATTTGTTCTTCAAAGCTCTCATGCCCTTGGGCAATTTTACCAACTCATTAGTGTGGTTCTCATGCAGAGACTTCATCTCATCTTGCATGGCTTCAATCCATTGATCCTTGTGCTTATATTCTATGGCCTCCTCATAACATTCAGGTTCTCCCCCATTAGTGAGTAATACATACTCATTGGGTGAATAACGAGAGGAAGGAACCTGCTGCCTTGTGGACCTCCTGAGCGAAATATTTGATTCGTCCACAACTTCATGAGCAGGAGGATCATCAATAACAATATCATTGTTATTATCAACATCAACATGTTGATTCGATACATGATTAAGGGCGTCACCGTGATCATCAAACCCAACAACATCATGCATACTTGTGTGAGGAACTTCTTCTAGATGAATTATAGCATCAAAACTTGAAGATTCTAGCTTCTCCGCTTTGTCAATATCTTCAATTGTTTGATTCTCCATGAAAATAATATCACGGCCTCTCACAAGTTTCTTTTCAATTAGATCATATAGCCTGTAACCAAATTCATCTAGGTCATATCCAACAAAGATGCACTGCCTTGTCTTGGCATCTAACTTTGACCTTTCATCTTTCGGCACCTGTACAAAAGCTTTGCAACCAAATACTCCCAAATGGTCATAGGAAACATCCTTTCCATACCAAACAGTATTTGGTACATCACTTTGCAAAGCAACAGCAGGAGATAGATTAATAACATGTGCAGCGGTCAATAAAGCCTCACCCCAAAATGAGCTCGGCAACTTTGCTTCAGAAAGCAAACATCTAACTCTTTCCATCAAGGTCCTGTTCATCCTTTCAGCCAAACCATTTAGCTGAGGAGTCTTCGGAGGAGTCTTCTGGTGTCTAATGCCTTGATGCTTGCAGTATTCGTCAAATGGTCCATAATATTCACCACCATTATCAGTACGAATACATTTCAATTTCTTTCCAGTTTCTCTTTCAACTGAAGCCTGAAATTGCTTGAAGACACCTAACACTTGGTCTTTAGTCTTCAAGACATAGACCCAAAGTTTTCTCGAGCAGTCGTCAATAAAAGTGACAAAGTAGAATGCACCACCTAATGTCTTTGTCTTCATTGGACCGCATAAATCATAGTGCACCAATTCAAGCAACTATGTCTTTCTTGAAGGAGGGTAGGACTTAAAAGAAACTCTATTTTGTTTACCAGCCAAGCAGTGCTCACACTTTTCTAATTTAGCAATTTTGAAATTTAACAATAATTTCTTCTTGGCTAGAACATTAAGTCCTTTCTCGCTGATGTGGCTAAGCCTCTTGTGCCATAACGTTGAAGAGTTATCGCTCTCAACTGCATTCACCATATCAACACAAGCAGAAGCCATAGTCCAGTATAGACCACGACGTTTGTTACCACGAGCCACAACCAAGGAACCCTTAATGAATTTCCATTTTCCATCACCATTGGTACTAACATATCCTTCATCATCCAAAACACCAACAGAAATTAGGTGCAGACGAACATCAGGTGCATGTTTCACATTGTTCAAAACTAGTTTAGTTCCAACACTAGTTTCCAAACAAACTGTACCAATACCAACCACCCTAGTAACAGTCTCATTACCCATACTCAAGGTTCCAAAATCACCAGGAGTATATGAAGAGAAAAAATATTTCTTTGATGTCACGTGAGATGCGGCACCAGTGTCCACAACCCAGCTTGACTCATCCCCTGAAAATTATTCAGATGGTCTGTCATCGGAGAACCATCATGATACTCTAAACTCAACATCTGTTTTATTAAGAACATTTTATTGTTGCCAGTTTTCCGAGCATACAAACTTTCAAGATGCTCCCATAGGATTCGAGCATGTGTCTCCCTAGAAATATGGTTCAACACATTATCGTCAACTCATTGCCTAATGAATCCACAAACCTGTCTATGCAACAAATTCCACTCTTCATCTGTTTTATTATCAGGCTTTACAGTGGTAAAGACTAGTTGATAAAAATTCTTGACATAAAGAAGATCTTCCATTTTCCCCTTTCAAATGGCATAATTAACACCATTTAAAGTAACCATTCTACTTGTGTTGGCTTCCATTGTTTATCCCCAAAAAATATAGATATTGCAAACCAAAGTAAATCTTTTCTGATGTGGAAGTTCAGACTGTGCTGCAACCACAGAGCATACTCAGATAAATATTTGGTTCTGTTACCAGTTTGTTGGGAAAACACGGACAAACACAAAAATATATATGGTCAAAGTGATGGAAATTAAATGGGAAAATAATGACACTAAGAATTTTACGTGGAAACCCTTTTTAATAAGGGAAAAACCACGGGTCAAGAGGAGCAACTGATATCACTATAGTAAGGAATTTTACACTGTGTAGTCACGAATACAATACTCAAAATGACTACTACACACTCAAAAGGAATAACACTCATTTGGTTTTCACCTTACTAAAATATCGCTCACACTCTATTTTTCTTCACAGACTACTTTTCTTGTATAGTCTATGGAATACCTCACTTTGCTCTCAAAATGGTGTTTTCTCTCTAACTTGGTGTGTTTGGAAATGAGCAAAATGGCTCTCTATTTATAGGAGAAATCTACTCCTAATGATGTCACCAATGACATATAAAAAATACCAAAGTTTCAAACTTTGCAACTATGTAATTATCTTGGTAAGATTTAGTTGATATGAAGTTGTACCAACTTAAGACTTTAACCAAAATGGGCTTGGAACCCCACAAACTTCGCATCAAATATACTGCAATATAACTTAAAAGTTGACCTGTGTCCCCCCTAATTCAGCTCATACGGTCATCTTTTTGGTCCAGTACACCCGTCTGTTCCAAAGTGGATTTTATTTCCTTTGCAAGTCCCACACCGTCCACAAATGATTCTGTAGTTCCATTGTTCTTTCTAAATTAACTCATTTGATTGTTTTCATTGTATTAATTTTACTTCTCTATGAAAATTCATATGCATTTGCTCCCGCTGTTCTTTCCAATTTCTAGAATCATAACAGAGTTTTAACCTCTCCACCCTGTACGAATCCCTAGCAATATGCCCATTTATGTAAAAATGAGAATATACTAAGATGTAGAATTAATAGCAAAATCAATTCATGTTCTAGTCCTGCATTTGACCATAATGCCTCAAAGTACCCAAATTTTTCTGCTACTTTTTCCCTGGATGCAATATGCTATAATATCACTCTTAATTTAGAGCACTATTAAAAAAAAGGGTAACATAATGCATAATAGTATAATCAATACACTACAAAAAAACGAAAATATTGCGGCGGTTTTATTACGGCGGTTTCCAAAAACCGCCACAAATATAAAATAATACGACGGTTTATAATACGTCATTTTAAATATTTTAGTAGCGGCGGTTCGGACTTAAATTACGACGGTTTGAACCGCCATTAATATTTTTAAAAAATTAAAATTTACCCAACAAAATTATTATATCCTTTGATTTACTCATTTATTTATTAAAGTAGTATAATTTGTCCAACTATATTTATTACCATCTTTTCCTTACATTTAAATTTTCTCATCTATTTTAGTATATTTAATTATTATTCTCCTTTCCTTAATAATTATAAATATTAGAATATTAAATATTTATTACTCAAATGCGAAAAAAAAGCAATTTGCCTAATTTGGTCGCTGACAGCCATTTAAATTGCTAATTACTGAAATTATTTTATTCTTATTTCCTTATTTACTTCCTTAGTTCCTTACTTCAAAGCATTTATGTTCCGTAGCTGAAGGATATTGAGCTCTCAATCACTCAATAAATCAAGCTCAAATCACGGTAAGCTCTCAATTCACTTTAAATAACACTCAATTCACTGTAAATTTTCAATGTAAGCTCTCAAACCTCAACCAATTGTAAGTTTTTTGAGTGAATCTGAATTTTTTATGAATCTATTTATCATCTATTTGTTTGAGTTTGTAGAGATTTGTTTGGGTCATGCATGTTTGAGTTTGTAGCGATTTGTTTGGGTCATGCATGTTTGAGTTTGTAGCGATTTGTTTGGGTCATGCATGTTTGAGTTTGTAGCGATTTGTTTGGGTCATGCATGTTTGATGTATTATTCTGTAGAGATTTATTTGGGGTTTTACTTTTTGTTATATTTCTGTACAATTCTGTAGAGATTTGTTAGGGGTTTTAGTTTTTGTTATAGTTCTATCTTATTCTGTAGAGATTTGTTGTTATAGTTTGATTTTGCATGTTATAGTTTAATTGTAGTCCAAAGAGGAGCCTTACAGAAATACTGAAGTTATGATCTAGAGTTCACTTTCTTTTCCAGTTTCAAGCCTTAGAGTTCACTTTCTTTACATTTTCGAGTCACTTCTCATATTAATTTACTGGTGCTATTAACTTAAATTTCATATTTGGCTTGATAGGTAAAAATATGAATTGGCTAGAATTACAAAAATCAGTATTGGCCTTCTGTCTTGCTAGAAGTAAGAAAATTCTCAGTAATTTTGGCATTTGATAGGTTCTATTTTTAGTTTTTTACTTTGATTGTTTGGGATGTAGATTGAGAATCTGATAGTGATGATGTAATATACAAAATACTAGATATGAGTTCTGCAAACTAGTTAGTGAACTGCAGTTCTTTTACTCAATTAAGTAAGAAAATTAGAGTATTTTTCTTGAAAATAAGGAATTCAAACTGTTAGCATTACAATTAGAGTATTTTTCTTGAAAAGCTTAGTTGTTATTTACACTTTTCATTTTGATATTATGATATTATTTAATTTTAAGTTGAATTGCTATGTCGTTCTTTCTAGCCATGTCAATTGATAAATCTTGGATTGGCAAGCCAAGAAATACTCCTGAATATGTAGATGGGGTTAGGAACTTTCTGAATTTTGCCTTTGAGTATGGATCTATTGACGGACATGTAATTAAGTGTCCATGTTCGAGGTGTGGCTTCAATAAGTGGCATGAAAGAGATGTAGTTCAAGAACACTTAACTTTAAAGCCTTTTCCAGAAAAATTATAAATTTTGGTATTTTCATGGTGAAGATTCAAATGCAACTATAACACAAACATTTCAGAGTACACGTGATGTAGAAGAGACCTTGCAGCCCCATAGTCCAATGGAATTCATGGTTAATAATGCTTCTAGGTTCATTGAAAACAATATCAATGTACCTGATGTGTCTTGTGAGCCTATAAATGGAGAAAAAAATATTAAATAAAGAGCATACTGAAAGGCAGGATGAAGATTATGCCAAGTTATTTGAATTGATTGAAGATGGCAAGCAACCATTATACGAAGGGTGTAAAAAGTATTCCAAATTGTCGTTTCTAATCAGATTGTATCACATAAAGTGTTTGTGCCGAATGACTGACAAAGCGATGGGTATGATATTGGAATTGTTAAAAGATGCCTTTGAAGATGCCAAGATTCCTGCTTCATTTTATGAGGCCAAGAAAACCATCAATACACTTGGTCTTAATTATACCAAGATACATGCTTGCCCAAATGACTGTATGTTATATTTTGGAAAATACGATGAAGGCTTGCAAGAATGCAAAAAATGCAAGACATCTAGATGGAAAGATAAAAATAAAAAGCAACCTGCAAAGATTTTGCGTTACTTTCCACTAAAGCCAAGGCTGCAAAGACTGTACATGTGCTCTAAAACTGCTGAATCTATGAGATGGCATTTTTTGGGGGGTAACCAAGATGGATTGATGAGACATCCTAGGGATTCTCAGGCTTGGAAAACATTTGACTTGCTTCATCCTGAATTTGCTACGGACCCTCGAAATGTACGGCTAGGCCTAGCTAGTGATGGTTTTAATCCCTTTGGAGCAATGTCAACAACCTATAGTATTTGGCCAGTGATTCTTATTCCATACAATCGTCCTCCTTGGGAATGCATGAAGCAATCTTCATTCATTCTCTCAATGATCATTCCAGGAAAAAAAATGCCAGGAAATGACATAGATGTCTACTTACAACCTCTTATCCAAGAGTTGAGGGAATTGTGGTACGATGGAGTGCAAACATTTGATTCTTCAAAAAAAGAAACATTTAAAATGCGTGCAGCTTTAATGTGGACAATTAGTGATTTTCCCGGGCTTGGTAACTTATCTGGATGGAACACATACACTGAGTTTGCTTGCCCCACATGTAATTTTGCTACAAATTCTTATAGGTTGATTCATAGTAGAAAATGGTGTTTTATGGGACATCGTCGTTTTCTTGAAAGTGGCCATCGGTTTAGATTACAACGACTTCGTTTTAATGGAAAAATCGAGCAACGGGAGCCACCAATTACATTATCAGGATCAGACATCTTGAAACAAATGGAGGGCATTCCAGTTAATTTTGGGAAAAAACCCGAGATGAATAATAAGCGCAAAAGAGCTAAAGGAAAACTTGTTAAAGATGAATCGAGACAATGGAGAAAGAGAAGCATATTTTTTGACCTTCCTTATTGGGAATCTAACTTGTTGCGTCATAATCTAGATGTTATGCACATTGAGAAGAATGTGTGTGAGAATTTGATATACACTTTGCTTAGTGATTCTGAAAAATCAAAAGACAATCCTCAAGCTCGAAAGGATCTTAAAGAAATGGGTATAAGACAAGAACTTTGGCTAGATGAAAATGGAAATTATAAGCCTTCTTTGTTTACTATTTCAAATACAAAGAAAAATGGTTTTAAGAAAGATGTATTTTTGAGAACTTTAAAGAATGTCAAAATGCCTGATGGATATGCAAGCAACATTTCGAGATGTATTGATTTGAAACAACGAAAGATCTTTGGAATGAAGAGTCATAACTTTCACATTCTCATGGAACAGTTGTTACCAATTGCAATACGTAAAGTTTTACCTGATAAGGTGACTGCCGTGCTAATGGAGTTGAGTTCGTTCTTTCGACAACTATGTGCCAAAAACTTAAGTCTGTCAGACCTTGACAAGCTGCAGTCTCGATATGTTCACACTATTAACCACTTAGAAATATTATTTCCTCCCACATTCTTTACAATCATGGTTCATTTGACTTGTCATCTAGTCGCTGAAGCAAAACTTGGGGGTCCAGTGCAGTATCGGTGGATGTATGCTATTGAAAGGTAATTAAAATTTCATTTTTTAATTGGAAGTTATTCTTTAAGTCAAATATGTAAAATTGTATCTATTTACTAATTATTCATCTTGTGGTCAGGTATTTAGGACACTTGAAGTCCTTTGTGCGAAACATGTCACAACCAGAAGCTTGCATAGCTGAAGGACACGTTGCTGAAGACGCTCTTAACTTTTTTTCTCAATATCTTGAAGAGATCGAGACAAGAACTAATAGGCCACACCGTGTTAATGATTATCCTGAGGACAGAGGCTCAACAAATTCTAGTATTTTTCCACCAGTTGGTAAAGGAGTAGGAGCTGAAACATTTGAGTTGTCACCTATGGTGAAACGCCAAGCACATCGATATGTGGTACTCAATTGTCCACAAGTCATGCCATTCATTGCGTAAGTATTTAAGGAGTTTTGGCCATTTAGCTTTAAATTTGGTATCATACACATGTGTTGAATGTATATTAAATTGTTGAGCCTGTAATCAGGAATTCAAAATGTAGCTTCACCTATTAATAACAGTGAAACATCACTCGTAATAGAGTTTTTTCATATTTAGTTTCGACGCTTTGTAGCTTTTAAGTTGCCATTACGACTTACAGTTAACTTTCATAAGTCAATTTAATAAAAGATTCTCAAAATTAGCAATTTGGATGTTCTATTGAGTTATTGAGCTAGTAGATTATTTTCAGTGTGAGTCATCACTATTTCAACCACAGGCTCAAGCTTCATCTTCATCATCACAATCACAATAAAAAACAAGTCAACATGTTCCATCTTCATCATCTGATGGAGAGTCTTCACAATCTATCGTTCCATCTACTTTCGATGGAGTTTCTTCAAAGCCAACTAAACGTAAAGACAACGAAGACAATCATGATTGGTTTGTCGATGTTATAGGTACATACAAACGATAAACTTTATTATAATTTTTAACCTTCTTAGCAACTAACGTAAATTTGATCTTTATTTTATTTTAGATCAACATCAAGTAACAAAAACGGTTAGAATGAAGATCAGGGATGTCCATAACATGGAAAAGGGATTGCGGATAATTGTAGAATGCGATGAATATGCTGTACCTATTGGAAAAGCAGCCGGCATAATTGCAGGAGTTATGGGGCAGCTTGCCACAAATGCTCTGTACTTTCCAATCAGCTTTAAAAAATGGCCAGACATGCCAGATTCTTACTTGGATCGTGTTTTTGATGAAATCCTAATGGTACTTCCTTGTTAATTATTTTGCTTAGCTTTAATCTTTTAGTTATATATGTAAAACTGCAGTAAACTAACATTGCTTTTTGAAGGCTCGATTTCTCTTTATGATTGATCATCAAAAAGCAAAAAAATGGGCTGGCAGTAATCTTAACAAAAAGTGGAAGGACCACAGGCATAAATTATGGCATGCCGCGAAAAATCCATTATTGAGTAAAGAAGAGATCATTAGAAAATCTCCGAATGGCATACCCATGGATCAATGGGCACTGTTTGTCAATTATCGCATGGACGAGAAAACACAAGTACTTAATGCTTCCTTTTTTTCTTTCTATTGCTTGTTCTTCTCTGCCATTGTTGTGACCGATTATTTACTTTCTACTGCTTCTTCTTTTCTGTCACATATTTCTTCTTTACCTGAAGTTAACTGTTCATATTGTTCCAATTTAACCTGTAGAAACTTTGCAAGAAGAATCAACAGATTCGACAAAATCAAATTCCTCATACCGGAGGTGCTAAGAGTTTGGCTAGAAGAAGAGCTGAAATGGTAGTTTAATACAATGTTCTTAGATAAATATACTCTTAATTAATTATTAATGTCTTACAATTTGAAAATTTTAGATGGCAAAGGGAAAAGCTGTTGATCGAGGCAAAATGTGGACTGAGACTCATAAGAGAAAGGATGGAAGTTATGTAACTGAGGCGGCTAGAGAGATTGGGGTAAGTATTCTCTTTATATATGATTACTCGAGTAGCTATTTAATCAGATTTCTGGTTATGGTGACATAGCAAAAAAGACTAATGCTTCAATTGTGTTATTGAGGACCAAAAATTAGTCTTCCTCTGTGTACTAATTCTACCATGCAGCAGCAACAACCTGTTGTTCTTGCCCTTCTTCTTAATGGGTTGCTTGTTGTGAATCAGAGACAATAGCATTTGAAGACGATACCAAATTGTACAATCTGGAAATTTGTAATACAAAGATACATGGTCCCTCTATCTTCATAGAGTCATCAACTAGTATTTGACACAATAGTATGCTTGTTTTCACAGGAGAAAATTGAAGAAATTCGAAGTCAAAGGCCAGAAAGTATTGTCGAAGTTTCACCTAATGATGCTCTTGGCATAGTACTCGGTCCCGAACATCCAGGTCGTGTTCGAGGGTTAGGCTTGGGTGTTGTTCCAACTATGGCATTCAAACAAACATCTAGGAGATTTAAGCATGTTAATGTGAGTTCATCTAGCTCTAGTAATCCAACTCCAAAGTGGCAGCAAGAGATGACGAGTATGAAATCACAATTAAATGCGCTACTCAGCTTATATCAAAAGAACATAGGAAACATCCCTGAAGAGTTTGCTCACTTATTTCCACCTCCTCCACAGGTATGACCATTATAAACATCTATGTTTTATATGCACTCTTTTTTTAAGAACATATCTAAGAGTCTTAACTCTTTCTTTACGTACTCTTCGGTATGAAGTCATTTCTGATTTGCCTTCACAGACTTGGTGGTGAAAAGTTTCCCTCGTCTCGATTCACAATAGATACCAATTTGTTTTTGGACAGCATTTTACCTGTTCTGGGTAAAAAAATACCATAATGTTGTTACTATCCTTACAATAGGTTGCCCCCGTTACAAAATAATTAGTGGGTTGTATGAATACTTGTAGTCATTCTTTGATACATATATTTTTGGAGTATATGATCATCAGCTTTCCTGTCAATTAATATATTTTATTTTATTTTTGCAGGCATCAGATTTAGAAAGTGGTGCTCATCAGTCACCAATCAGACCAACCATCGATTAGAATCTTCAGATGAAAGTATAAAGGATGGAGGACTAAGTATAAACTGGAAATCATTTTTAGTATCTTCTTTTGGATATTCTTTTTGAATGACACTTGAAATTAGTATTTTGATGATGTAATTTTGAAGTTTTGAATAACACTTGAAATTGGTATTTTGATGATGTAATTTTAGAGCTTTGAATAACACTAGTATTTTGATGATGTAATTTTGGAGTAATTTTGTTTAATATGATGAATATTTTGCTCATTTGATCTTTTATGTTGTGTTAAAACTACTAATTATACAAATTTAAATATATGGTGCAATAAATAGGATGTAAATATGAATTGACAAAATTAGAATATATGATTATTTATGGCGCCACGAACTGATCATTACAGCGATTTCGAACCGTCGTGATATATAAATATTTTTTTACAATTACGACGGTTATAAACCGCCACAATATACAACAAAAAATGTCGCATTAACAAAGGAATATTATAACGATTTATATATATATATTACGTCTGTGACAGACGAGATTGTATATATATTACGACGGTTTCTAAAATGTCGCATTAACAAAGGAATATTGCGACGGTTTATATATATATATTACGTCTGTGACAGACGAGATTACGACATTTTCATAAAACGTCGTTATAGTGCATTGTGATGGTTTGAAACCGTCGTATTACCTATAAAAAAAACTGTCGTAATAACCCCAGTTTTTTTGTAGTGGAAGAAATCTTACGGAAAAAAAATGCTATCTCAATCTGAAGCACATTACCAAGTTGCGGGGGGGGGGGGGGGGGAGCATTAACAAAGGAATATTGCGACGGTTTATATATATATATTACGACGGTTTCTTAAAAACCGTCGTAAAATGTTTGTGACAGACGAGATTACGACAGTTTCGTAAAACGTCGTTATATTGTATTGTGACGGTTTGAAACCGCCGTATTACCTATAAAAAACCGTCGCAATAACCATGTTTTTTTTGTAGTGATAACATAAGGAAGTATCCGACTAAATTTGATTGTCTTCTTGTTAACTGTGACCTCTACCTTGTTTTGATTTAAAAAAAACAAGGGGAAAGTTGATTACTGTGCTCATTTGATATACACCATTGTCACTCTTACACTCATCTATTAGATGATTGATATGTCATCTGAAAATGCATTTTTGTTGATAGACACTAATTGTCATTTATTTAAGATTTGTCTCACGTTCCTCATTGTGTTTTTCGGTGAACATGGCTTTGTTGTTAACACTCTGTAATAGAGCCTTCACCTCTACGTTATTCTTCTTGGATGATTCCATCTAGGCAGCCATTATCGTACTATTTTTCACTTGAGAAAATATTTGGTGTTTGGAACATTACAAAGCTTAGAATTAAGTTAAATTTGGTAGTTGTTCTGGCTGCCGCAAAATGCTATTTATAAGTCAAACTATTTCAGTCATCGTATTGCCTAATGTCATTATATGTGGCCTTCTCAACAATTTGAGGAGACTGTTTCTGTGTTCTGTAACCTAAAGTCAGCTTACAAGACGGAGCAATTTGCAAAGCACACCTACAATCTTAAATCATTATTCTTGAGGCACGTACCTTATATGATGTTTCATGATCAAATTACCCTAAAACTTGTTGATTTTCATTGATAATGATAATGTTCCGCCCAACTTACACGCACATCGACTATTTTACTGGCCGTGTCGGGTAACTCCTACTACCAAACTTAGGCAGCTAGAATTTCTTGATTTCTTCAATACGTTTAAACACCTAAGCTAATGTCGCTCCTTACTTTATTTGCAAATTTTGTTTGACCTCAAATAATGTTAGGATTTTTGTTGCTCAATCTATTGCAGTATTTGATTCTAGACAGAATTTTTACTCTCTTATTTTCTATTCATAACTTTTCTCGAAACAGTGTTTCAAAACCCAAAATTCCTAATTTCAGATTTTTTTCGATCAACACAACAAGCTCACACTTCAACATCTACCCTACATGTCCTATAATAAATCAACAGATAACTTTAACACCCATTATCTTTTCGAACAAACTCACCTAATTTAATAAAAGAGAAATCTTTAACAAAAAATTGTCTTGTAACATAGTATAAATTAAAAATACTTGCATTTAGAAGGTAAAACCTGAGATTAACTTGAAGGGCTCTTGAAATCTTAGCCAACTAAAGGAAGATGATATCCAATACATGTGATGACGTCTGAGAAACAACTCATAAAATCTGGTTGTGCCCTCGAATATGCAGATAATTAAGCAATAAACATAAAAATAAAACCAAACAAAAAAAAGATAATCAAAGAAGAAGAGTTGCAGTTTGTGCTTGCCTGGTTTTTTATTTATTTATTAAGTAAGCAGAGAAAAAGAGATAGAGACAGAGAAGAAGAGCCACTACGTGTTTATCCAACAGCAAAATGTAAGACACTATTTGAATGGATATCAGCTTGCTAGAATGGAATGACCAAAATGCCCTTATTTTCAAATTTAATGACAAACAAGCAGTCATGTTGAAATGTTTGGAAACTCTCTTCTAAAAAAAATATATATCTATTTGGATTTGTTAGAATTTCATATTTTAATACCCCCATGGTCTACGTTGTGTGCATAGTTGTTCTCATAAAAAAAAAACTATAGCAAAGTTTAAGAATTTTACCACCGCCATACGGCCCATACCTAAGTCTAACCTTACTAGGAAACCTTTCATACACAGAGAGAAACTTTCTTTTCATAATTTGGTTCCATTATAATTTTTCATAATTTGTAGTAACAATATTTATGTTACCAACTTTTAATATCTATAAATTATACTCACGTTGTGGTTAATTTTCAATTTATCGCACCATCAAGTCCAATGTCAAAATTGTAATCTATTTGCTTTTTCAGAAATCACACTCGCAGAAGTATCCGATAAACAAAGCAAAATCCTGATTGACGAAAATTAATTTTTGAAATTGGTCTCTACATCTGGCGGTTCTTTTCATAAATATGTGCAGTCTCACTAAAACATTCATAACTTGGTGTAGCGTCCAAATGATAAGCGACTTGACTCTTTATAAATTAGACTTTGAACGCTATGGCATATCCAAGAATCTAAGGTAAAAATCCTTCTGGGTTGACAGGAGTCAATTTTTGAAGTTGGCCTCCAGATTTGTCTTTTCTTCTAATCACAATTTGTATGGTCTAACCAAAATGTTTCTATCTTGGTGTAGGAGAAGACAAATGGCATACCGCTTGATTCTCTAGTGAAACTAGATTCAAAAGGCTGCAACATACCAAAAATTCATTGGAAAACTCCACCAGGACGGGCAGCAATCAATTAGGAATAAGTGACAAGTAAAAGTGAACGGATGGATTAATTTCATAAACCTCCCTTTAGATTTGCTTTAATAACACTGATTTCTCTTGTGATTTGAGATATTACACTAACCTCCCTTATATGGATATTTTTGTAACATAATTTATTTAAATGATAATTTATCTATGTTCTTCCTCATCTACCATTAAGAAAAATCGTAACACCTCGCTATTTGAAAAACTAGAAAGAGCTAGAATTAGAAAGAGTCATATTTGGAAAGAATGAAAAAATATGGAAAATTGGTTAAGTTATGTTAAGTTTGAGTTTTGGGTCAACTTCAAACGACCATAACTCCTAGTTCAGGATGAGTTAGGTGTGCTACCAGATACCGTAGGAAAGATCTTTGAATTATATTTCCAACGCCGCCGAGTTTTCTCAATTCCGAGTTCGTATGAGGGAGATATGTCCATTCAAAGTTGGATTGTCTAGATAAGGAAAGTCAAAACCGGATTTTAGGAGGGTATTATGGTCTATTCACTATCCAATTATTTAAATTTCGTTTTTGGTAATTAGGTTGGGACCTAAACTGATTTGGTTCAGTTTACGTTCATAAAAAAGAGTTAGGGTTTTGAGAGAAAAGAAAAGAAGAGGAGAAAAGAGGAGAAGAGACAAGGAATCGTCAAGTTCTTGAAGAATTGCTTGTGGATTTCGTCAAGGGGTGATCCCTACGAGGTATGTGAGATCACATAGCGTTGGGTTAGTTCACCCACGCTCCAACCATGCTTGATTCATTGTAATTATGTTCTTGAAAGAAGAGTTTATGAGTTCTTGATGAATATTGTTGAAAGTTTCGTTTGAATCTTAATTGTTGAAGTTGTTGAGAAGTTCTTGAGTTTGATTCATAAAATTAGATGTCGTTTTAAGTAGATTCTTGCATATTTTGATTATGTAGTTGAATCTAAGTGTTTGGGAAAGACCCAATTGAATTTAGAGGGTTTAGAGTTGAAAAACGACCAAGAGAATTCGTCAAAAATCTGGGAAAAAGGGTGGGGCACCGCGCCACTCAGAGCGCCCCACAAAGTTCTCTGAAGTTTGGCCTCTGGGGTGCCGCGTCAGCCAGAGCACCCCATGTAGTTTCAACTCTGGCGCCCCTCGCCACTCAGAGCGCCAGGGACGCCAAGTTCTCTACCCCTTTCCCACTTCTTTCCGTTTGAGTTCCCTAGCAACGTCCCTAAGTTTTCTAGTTGATTTCTACACTCTAAGGTACGTCTAAACATCATGAAATAATCCATAAAAATGAGATCATGAGACTTGAATCCATAATTCAATTCAAGGAAAGTTAAGAGTCAAGTCAAGAGAAGTTCATAGAGTTTTCTAAAGGTCTTTTACAAATGTTTTAACTTTATTTTAAGACTTGAGTTCTGAGTTAAGTAAAGTGTAAAGATTGAACTTCATATCTTCAAAAGAGTATATGGGGACTATGTATATCCAAAGAGTAAAATGTTTTCACATTTAATCTCCACCAGGTCTGCACGGACAGGGGGAGAACACTGTATGTCAGCTTCACAAATCTTTGTATGGCCTTTAGCAATCATCGAGAAATTGGTTTCTCACATTTTCAGAAGCTATCCGTAAAGCTGGTTTTCAACAATCAAAGGTTGATTATTCCCTTTTCACCAAGGAAAAAGGTTCATCATTCATAACAATACTTATCTATGTTGACCACATACTTCTCACAGGAAATGATCTTTAAGAAATTGAACGCATCAAAGGTTTCTTCTCAAACGCTTCCGCATTAAAGATCTTGGAGAGTTGAAGTATTTTTTAGGTATTGAGTTTTCTCGTTCAAAGAAGGGCATCTTTATGTCTCAGAGAAAATATGCAATA